GGCCCCTGTGCTTTGCTTAGCTTAGCTTGTTCTAAGTAGGTGCTTTAGACCACTGAGCCATCTCACCAGCCCCTCAAGCCAGTCTTGAAGTAACGCTCTTACCTCAGCCCCCTAAGTAGCGGAAACTACAGGCATGAGCCGCTCCGCCCACCCCAATCTCTCTTTTTTTCTTTAAATGTGGCTATTAGAATAAATTGTAATTACATATATTTGGCTCCCATTGTACTTTTATTGGGCAGTGCAGTGTGAAGAGGCATGGACTATTATTATCTGTATTGTAGGGCAAAGGAAGAGGAGACACAGAGAGCTAAAACAACCTGCCCAGTCACACCAAATCACACAGCAAGGGATGTAGCTCAGCAGGATGGTGCTGACCACGCACTCAGGAGGCCCTGCGTCCTTTCCCCAGAACCAGGGCAAAAAGTCATGCAGCTGACACAGGCCCAGAAGCTCAATCTTTAAACTTGGTAAGAATGACTACTAGCTGGACATGGTGGCACACGCCTGTCCTCCCAGCACCCGGGAGGCTGAGGCAGAAGTACCTTTGTGAGTTGGAGGCCAGCTTGGGCTACACGTGAGTACAAGGTCAGTCTCAACTACCTATTGAGACCCTGTCTCCAAAACAACAAAAATAAAACAAAAAGACCCCAATGCAGCCCTGGCTGAGACAGGAATGGTGAGGGGAGGAGAGGAGGTGCCTGGGCTCCGTGTCATTTTAATACCAGGCTTTCCAGTACCCACAAGGGCCCCAGGAGAGCCCAGGCCAGGGGGGTTACCTGAGATTCTCCCCGCCCTCGGTGCACTGGAAGTCCAGGCCCTCGGGCTGAGAGCTCACAAAGGTGTGCAGGTGGGACAGTTCCAGGGCGCTCCAGATGTCCTTTTCCGAGTACTGGTGGAAGGGGTCCAGGTTCATGCGTAGGGTTCCTGAGAACAGGATGGGTTCCTGGAGATACGACAGGGCCTGAGAGGGGCAGCTCTGGCCCCACAAGCAACCCCGGGCTCCCAAGCACAGAGCACAGAGGGGGTTAGAGTGGCAGTGTCTCCACTTTGTCCCCAGTGGTCCCTGTCCTGGAGAAAGACAAGGGCTGAGGAGAGAGAAAATGGCCTGGGGGAGAGTGATAACCCTGGCTTTGCCATTCACTAAGCCCTCTGCTAGCAGGAGCCAGAGCCACTGATCTCACTCCAAAGTGTCCAGTCGGCAGAAATATATACACCAAGGAGCCAGGAAAAGCACCAGTAATCCTGAGCCTTGCAAGCAGAAGGCCAGGATGCAAGGCCTGGGGACTGGTGGCTGGAGGGGTCCTTGCTCCTCCCTATTTGCTGGCCCAGGGCCAGGTGGCTCCTGGGTGGCCCGGTTTCCTGCTATGCAGTTTGGTCCCTCTCTAGTCTCCAAGGCCAGTGTCCTTGGCTTGGTCCTCAAGCTGCGGAACAGCAGGGAGCCCCCCCACCGCGATGTTGCGCGTAGCCGGATTGTGGCAGGCTCGCACCTGGGGGATGATGGTCAGCTTAGAACGCAGATCGTGGAGGCCAATGTCTGCCACATTGAGGCCATCGATGATGATGTTACCCTCTGCTGCTTCAAGGATCCGGAACAGGCAGAGGGTCATGGATGATTTACCAGCTCCGGTACGGCCCACAATGCCCACCTGTGGGAGTGTGGGAGGGGCTGTGAGGGGAAGCTGGGGGCACAGGGACCTCTCCAGGTCTTCCCTAGTGGCAGAGATGGCTCCCCAGGCACAGGTACCTTCTCACCGCCGTGCACACGAAGATTCAGGTTCTTCAGCACCAGCTCTAGGCCAGGTCGGTATCGCACTGAGTAGTTCTGGAACTCGACCTCACCTTTCAGGGGCCAGCCTTCCTGGGGACGACTGCCCTCCACCACCCAGGGGGCCTGGCAGAGGGGGGCATGGATCTCAGCAGGGTGGGGCCCTCCCTAGCTCTCTTTTAAGGTCCCCTCCCTCCCCATCACTGGGCCCATAGTCCTTTCTCTCTTCGTTGCAGTGCTGGGGATCAAACTCGGGGCCTTGTGCTAGCTAGGCAAGTGCTCCGCTACTGAGCTACCCCCCAGCCTTAGCTCTCTGATTTGTTTTTTTGTGTTATGGACTGACCCCAGGGCCTTTGCCTTGAGCTATGTATCCAGCCCCTTTTCTTTATTATTTAAAATTTTGACATTACCCAGGTTGGGGTTGAATTTATGATGCTCCTGCCTCAGCCTCCCAGAGTGCTGGGTGACAAGGGCTCAGCACCATCTCTCTCACTTTTTCCCCAAGAGCTGCTCCAGAACTTCCCATCCTGTCCCCTCCCCCACTCTTCTCATGCCCCATGCTCCTGAGTGCTGCCCAGCCTTCCCTAGCTTCTCCTTCCCTCACTTTAAACCATCCATCGTTACTAAATGGGACCTGGCATCAGGCAGTGGGACACAAGTGTCCCCTAGGAGACAAAGTTCTTGCCCCTGGAGGTCACATTCTAGCCCAGGTGTTAGAACACATAAGCAACTCTATGTAACGCAGAGACCAGTGGGTGCTGGGCTGCCCTGGGCTGGTCAGGGTGGGCTTCCTGGAGGAGCTGCTATGGAGTAAAGCCCTGCAAGGAAGGACAAGGCATGTGGGTACCTGGGCACCAGGACAACAGGTGCAAAGGCCTCCAGGTGTGTTCTGAGGCACAGAGACAAAGGTGAGAAGCAGCAGGCAGAGCCAGGGATGACCCATGGTGAAGGGACTCATGGGCCACTTTCAGGTCTATGGCTTTACCCCGAACGAGATGGAAAACCATCAGGGCCAAGTACAGAGCACCAGCAAGATCTGGTGCATTTTCAAAGGAGGAGTAACAGGAGGGAAGAGCAGGCTGCGGGAGGAGGACAGCGGGCTGCGGGGAGCAGGTGACATCAAGGATAACGAGACAGTTGACAGAGCATGTGTAGAAGATAATTTAAAACAAGTTCACGACAGAGGAGAGCAGAGAACTGGGGCAGCGGGATGCAGGGGGCAGGGAGGGCGGATGTGTGAGTCTGGAACATTTGCGCACATGGATGGGACTCATCCGACAGAGGGAGCAAGACTGACAGAATCCAGTCCTGGAGCAGCACTGGAAGAGTGGTGTTTAGGGAGAAAGGAAGATGGGGTTTGGGCACAGAGACAGGTTAGAGCTCTGGGGGCTGGCAGGCTGAGGAAGCTCATGTCTTCTAACCCAGTTTTGCATGGGCCGGAGTGTCAGGTAGGGTCACCAGCTGAGCACAGGGAGGAAATGGGCTGAGGACAGAGGACGTTCAGAAGAGGTTGTTCTGAAAGCGGGAACAAGAGCTTCCTGGGTGAAACAGGAGCTTCCTGGGCTAAACCCGTGAAATATGGTCACTGATGTCCCCTAGCCAGCTGTTCTATGCAAGTCTGAGGGAGGACAAGAGGGCTGGGGTGGCAGTGTTGGGGAGAAGGGCAGAAAGTAGGGGAAGGGGTAATTAGCATTCATGTTGGGGGCAGAGAAGCTAGGTCTGCTGGGAGGAAGCTGGAGGAGAGGATGGAGAGACAAAGGTATGTCACGGGCATCCCAGCAAGGACAGAGTTCTGGGGCCACGCAGGATCTGGAGCTTGTGGGGTATGGGGATGGGATGAGGCCTACAGTGGGGTGCGTGACACGGAGTGCTTAGAGATGGTACTGCTTCAGGGCATGGGAGATTTGGGGTATGAACATGGCAAGGGGCAGTGGTGAGGGCACACACCAAAGGGCACAAGGCCCTACCTGGGCTCCTCGGACCAGCCTGGTCCCTTTCACTGCAATGCTCACCTGCCACTCCTGCATGCCACCATCTTCCCTAATTGGTCAAAACCCACCCATCTTTCAATCTCAGCATGCTCCCTGCTCACTCCAACTGCATGATGTCCCCTCTCTGCCCTCCATGGGTACAGCCCCTTCCAGCTACTGTCCACAGCAGAGCCTACCACAGGTCTCACCCTCCCTGGAATGAATCTGCTGAGGGGATTGTCTTGCTCAATCTGAGCCCTTTACACCTCCCATCGTTAAACTCTGGCTGATGCCTTGAGGACTGAATGGTAGGATGAGTGGATGGACAGGTGGTTGGGTGGTTAGATGGATAAAGGGACAGATACATGGATAGATATGTGGTTGGATGGGTGGTTGGATCAATGACTGGCTGGATGAAGAACTACCTAAACAGCTGGCCTCAATGTGGGGGATGGTGAGATATATGGAGCGTATATCCTCTGTGATTCCAGATTATCCCAGGACTCACCTCGGTCTCCGTAACTGAATACTCCTTGACTCTCTCCACAGCCACAATATTAGACTCCAAGTCTGACATCATTCGTATTGTCCAGTTCAGCGCTGTTGTCATCTGGCCAGAGAGACCAGGTTAGGGCAGGGCCTCCCCCAGCAGCAGTGTTGAGAAGAGGTCCATCCTTGCTCACATCCCCAGCAAGGACAGCCTAGCTGACCTGTGACCCACAGGCGTGTGGACTGAGGCTGTCATCACAACTGTGCCTCAGGCAGCGACAAAGTAGACTTAATCAAGGACTGCCTCACACCTTGCTTCTCAACCTTGAATACATTAAAGCCTCCCCAGAGAGTCTTGTTAGGGTGCAGCTTCCCATTCAGTGGGTCTGAGGAGGGACCTGGAAGTCTCCGTTCCTATCAAGCTCCCAGAGGACAGTGGGTCCCAGCCCAGGGACCACCTTTTGTGTCCCAAGGAGTCTCGGTAAAAATGCAGATTCCTGAGCAACAACCTAGAGCAGGTGAGGTATAATGTAGGTTTTTAACAAGCTCTCCAGGCGGCCCATGCAAGTGAGTGTCTGAGAAGCCCGGCCTGCTTGGTTTGCCTTTTGTTCAGCAAGAGCATTCAGGATTCAAGCCACCTGAGGCATTAGCAATTCACTCTGCTTTACAAAAAATTCTATTTGCGGTTACATAAGCCTTTGGCAATACAGGCTGTTATCAGAATGACCTGCCTCACCTGCAGCCCAGGCACCTGTCACCTGATCTATATAAGTTGTTCCTTGGTAACGAGGGGCCCTCCAAAGATTTTAAAGCCACAGACATTCAAGTCTCTTACCTACAGTAGTGTGATGTTTGCAGGTAACCTCTGCACACACTCCCATGCGCTTCGAATCATATCTAGATGACTTAGAACACCTGACACAATGCCTACACGTTCAGCATCATACTTGCCACTGCAGATTTAAGTCTCACGTTTTCGGGGGAAGTGTTTGAATATTTTCCCCAGATAGTTTTCATCTGCGGCTGGCTGAGTCTCTGGATGTAGACCCCACAGGCACAAAGAGTCACCAATATTTTCTCCTGCATGTACAGAAAGTATACCTCGGCCCTACACTCTCCTGCGGCCAGACCTCGGTCATGTTGACCTACATCTTGCCCAGACGCAACAAATTCTGTTTGTCCTTTAGAGATGACCTCCCCATTGCTTCTCCAATGATCCAGAGTGGGGACACTCCCCTGGGTGTGTCAGTGTTCCCTTCCTTCCACCCAAAGGCCTTACCAGCTCCTGCTGGTACCAGTCTCCCTACATCTAACTCTGAGTCCACGGTGCCTGAGTCCAGAACCTGCCCTATTCCCATATTGAGCAGAAAGGGCACCCAGTTGGAGCCCTGCTCAGGGACATGGCCCCCATATACCTGTAGGGCATAGGACACAGAAAGGCCCACGAGCCCTGGATTCAAGCTGTTCCTCCCAATCACCGCAAACAGGGCAGCGAAGAGCACCACGCAGTTCCCCACAAACTCCACGTTGACACCCAGCCACCTGTGGGGAGGAGGCAGATGGGGAGGAGATGGGATAAGACACAGGAAGAACCTGCTGTCCCTTTAGGCAGACAGCTGCCAGAAATCCTGGAAGAGGAGGCATCTGACCTATTGGAGGCGATATAAGGGTAGCAGCTTTTCTGGTTGCTGTCCACCTTCTTGTCACTGAGGGCCCTGAATTCCTCAGTGCGGCGATAGGCCCGGATGACGCTGGCGCCAGTCACTGTCTCCGAAAAGTGGGAGTAGATGGGTGAGCGGCTGACTGACTCCAGTCGCTTGAGCTGCCGGGAAGTAGCCACATAGAAACGCTGGTGGAGAAGAGGAAAGAGCTTTGGTCAGAGCCCTGGAAGCACCAAGTCCATCCTGCCCATCCTCCAAGCTGTCCATGAGGCTCTTCCTCCCCATGGGGTCTTAGCATCCTCACGTACACACATGCTACCCTTGCTCTCTGGTCAGCTTCCTGTCTGTCACACCACTTCCTGCACAAAGCCCTCCCTGATTCCCTTTCAGCTCCTGCCTGCCTGAACTACTTCCCAGGGGCTGAGTGCCTGGATCCCAAGGCCAACCTCAGCCTCTTAGGTAGTGAAATGCCCAGCTCTATCTAGGACCCTGGTAATATACTGAGGCAAATCATTTTATAAGACGTCCCCAAAAATGTAATTTTGTATCCTTTTTCTGGAAAAGCCCTTCTACCTCAGTTGTTTCGGCTTCAGCCCCTCAAAAGCATAATTCTTTCTTTAGTTTCTCTCTTAGCCCTGTGGGTCCCAAGATGGCAGTGGGCTGTCGGGCACTGCCTGGCCAAGGCCTCAACCTCTGGGGAATGCCACCCTCACTTGTCACCAAGCCTGGACACGGGCTATATCTGCATGTTAACAACTCATATATGATACAGATACGTGTGTGTTCAGATATATATGTAAACAAGAGGAGGGATACTGCACCCCAGCCTGGTAACATTTATATTAAAAAACAGTCCAGGGCCAATCACAATTTTTTTTTTTTCTAAATACTGTGACTCGGACTCAGCATCTTGCGCTTGTCAGGCAGGTTCTTGTGCTGCTGAGCTATATCCAGGCCAATCACAATTAATAAGCATGCATTTTATGCTCACACTCACAGGATGAGGTGAGTTTTAAGAAACTGCCTTTTGGCCGGGGAGATGGCTCAGTAGAATAAGCGTTTGCCTGGCAAGCACAAGGGTCTGAGTTCAATCCCTGGTTCTGCAAAAAAAAAAAAAGAAAAAGAAAAAAGAAACTACCTTTACAAGGGAATTAAAAGGAATTTTGAGGAAGTAACTGATCACTGTTCCTAACACAATGCATCGCACTCTACAGTAGTAGTTCAGCAGCCTACAGAAGGACCCTGCCCACATTCAAGCCCACCCACTAGGAGCCTAGAGCTAGAGCTCCGCCCACACCCGAGCCCCGCCCACGCCCGAGCCCCGCCCACACCACGCCTAGGTACCTGTACAAAACCATAGAACACCGCCAGAGGCAGGATGACCAAGATGAAGAGCGGTGTGCTGGCCACGATGATCACCACGATGGAGAATGTAGTGAATAAGGTATATAACAGCATGAGGATAGTGGGGGTCAGAACCTCATCGATGACATAGATGTCCTTGGAAAAGCGGTTTAGGATGCGGCCCGAGGGTGTTGTGTCGTAGAAGGATTGCGGGGATCGCATCTTGTTTTGCAGCAGCGCGTTGTGCATCAGGTATGCAGCCTGAATGCCTCCCGTGGCCATTGTGAAAGCCGAGAGCATCACCAGGACCCCTGTAGGGGTGCAGAAGGCACAGGGTCACCTGGGTGGCAAGGTGGGCCTGGAGAGGCAGGGGCATGGCTGGGGGCGGCACAGAGCCAAAGGACAGGAAGGGACATGGCCCCTGGTTGGGGCAATTCACCTTGCAGAATGCCCAGGGCGGCATAAACTCCCAACCTCAAGGAGGTGTTGTTTTGCCTCCCTTCTGTCATGGCCTCATTGGTCCAAGCGCTGAGCCACACGTTGGCCCCGATGGCGGCTGCACTTTGGCCAGCATACAGCAAACAGATAGCCAGCGTGGTACAGAGGCCCACAGCCTTGGCATAGTCGCAGAACACGCTCAGTTTCACCTGCAGGGAGTACCCATGGCAGTTGGGGACAGAGGACTCCATGAACTGCTGGGGCCTGTGTGTGGCTGCTTGCGTCCGCCCTACTCACAGTGCCAGTCTCCGCCTTCTCCTCCTCGATGAGCATCCCAGTCTTCTTTGCTTTGGTCACCTGCATGGCCTTCTCTGATATGCTCTGGTGTCTCCGAGGCACAGGCTGAGCCTGGCCCTCCCCATCTGAGGACATGCTGCTCATCTGCCTGGGGAAGCAGCAAGTCAGACTCAGGCAAGTGGCCTCAGACACCCCCCAATACAGTGTCACCCTCAGGGTGTGAGGATCAGGGGGACACCCACCCTCGCCCCACTGCCAGAGCCCTGGAGTCCTGCTGCAGCCTTGTAGGAGGCTGGGGGCTTTTTCAAGGCTCACCTCATGAACTGCTTCCGGACCTCGGACAGGCTTACAGGCTCGGTGTCCGTCAGGTCTGTGTGGGTGCTGAGCGTGTCCTCAATCAGCAGCACCTCTTCGTCTCTGTCTTCCAAGACTGCAGAAGGGAGAGCAGGATACACAGTGCTGCCCATCACTTTGCACCCAGAAAGACAGCATGAAACACTTCCTCCAGAGCCTATGGGACCCAAGTGTCAAGGCTGAAACTTGGGCACTGGCATCAGACAGGCGAGCTGAGGTCCCACTTCCTGGACGTGTGATCTCAGGCAGGCACAGCAAAAGAATAGTCACGGTGCCTGGCTGTGGCACCTCTGTGAGGACCAGTGGGCCCTGCAGGGGGCATGCCCTTAGACATGCTCAAGGCAGTGGGCAGAGAGCTCAGGAGAAGTCCTGTGAGCCAAGCCCCAATCTGCGGTTGGGAGCCCTGAGAACAGGCAGATTTTATTTGCTCTCGGTTCTCTGTCTTTCAGCGTCTGGAGCAATGCCTGGACATAGTCATTGTTCAATAAATCTTGGTTGATAAGTAAATGTTTTTACTAAACACTTGCCCATTCGTTAAACAATTTATCCATAAAGCAGCCTTGGGCCTGAGTCCACGGATCCTTTTGACAGAGGGAAGCCAGACTCTGAGGCCTGGACTGCTGAGCAGGTCGCACTGGGAGGAGGAGGAAGTGAACTTATCTGATCCAGTTCACTTGCCCTTTGGTGACATCTGCTCTGTCTGTCACATAGAGGGCCTGGGTTTCCCACAGCCTCGGGTGGGGGAGGGGCAGACAGGGGGTGGGGTTCAGAGGGCCCAGGGGGGCACGTACCCATCCTGTGGTTCTCCAGCTTCTCCTCCTCCTCCTCCTCACTGAAAGTGTAGTTCCGGAGGAAGTTGGCAAAGCTGCCGTCATGCTGCATCAGGGCCGAGTAGGGGCCCATTTCCGACACCTGCCCATTGGCCAGCACTATGATGAAGTCGGTCTGGGGCAGGAAGTTGATGCTGTGCGTCACCAGCACCCGAGTCTGTGGAGAAGGCAGCAGGCTCTGGTCTCAGGGCCCTCGGGGTAGGCTGGGGAGCACGGGTGGGGATATCCGTGACTCACCACAGGCTGCTTAGCCCCTCTGGGGGGCGTGAGTCCCAGGTCTCACCTGAAGCCCTTGGCCTCCCACCAGTTTCCTGCTAGGGCACTGAGCTTGCCCTGGCCCCTGTCCTGTGGCCTCACCTTGCCCGCTAGCACACCCTCTGGCCCAATCACATGGTCAAAGATATGTTTGGCCACATGCGAGTCCACAGCTGACAGTGGGTCATCCAGCAAAAAAATGTCGGCGTCACTGTAAACAGCTCGGGCCAAACTGACCCGCTGCCGCTGGCCTCCAGATAGGTTAATGCCCTGGAAGGAGGAAGAGGAAAGTGCTGGATCAAGGGGGCATGCAGGTCTAGGGGGACAAAGAAATGTGCAGGCCCACAGCAACACAGGCCTCTGGATCTACATTTCCTGAGGCGCCCAGTTGTCTGGGAAGCTGAGGGCAACCGAGGAAGGGACGCTGGCTCTCAGAGTCTTCCTGGACAGCTAGGCCTCTTCTCTTGCTTTGCTACCCTGCCAGCTGGTGGCCCTGGCCAACCCAGGGTCTGTGGACAGGTGAATGGGAAGTGGACGGTGATAGATGGTACCCAGCCTGAGAAGCACGAGACGCTAGCAGGCAGCGCATGGATACAACTTGGGGACACTGTGCTACATTGGATAAACAGGTCATAAGAAGACAAGGGCTGTGTGAGTCCACCTACATGAGGCGCCCAGAGTAGCCAAGTTCCAAGAAGCTGAGGAATGGGTGATGGCAGAGGAGGAGGACTGACTGTAGTGACTCTCCAGTGGGGACATACTTGCAGTTTGGCAAGATGAAAAGGTTCCAGAGATTGTTGTGTAACTGTGAGTGCGCATGATGTGACCAAGCTGCGTGTTGAAAGCTGGTGGGTGGTACAATTTATGTTGTGTGGACTTGGCCTCAGTTAAAAATAAACTAAGGATCCAGGCATGATGGCACATGTCTGTAATCCCAGCACTGGGGTGACCGAGGCAGGAGGATTGCCATGAGATTGAGGTGAGCCCCAACTACTTAGTGAGTTACAGTAAAATAAAATAAATGAAAATTAAGCAGGGCATGGTAGTCCATGCCTGTGATCAGAGCACTCAGGGAGTTGGGGCAAGATTTTTATTTAATTGAATCTTTTTTTAAAAAAAA